AAGTGGCTAAGGCACCAGCCACATACACCTGAGCTGGCAGGTTCAAATCCAGCCCAGGCCCGCCAGACAACAATGATGGCTGCACCCCAAAATAAAAAATATATCTAGGCATTGTTGTGGGTGCTGGTAGTACCAGCTATTTGGGAGGCGGAGGCAGGAGAATCGTTTGAGCCCAGGTGTTGGAGGTTGCTGTGAGCTGTGATGCCACCATACTCTACTCAGGGTGACAGCTTGAGGCTCTGTCTCAAAATAAATAAATAAATAAATAAAAAATAAGAACAGGTAGTTTGTATATGTGCATGCAAATTTGGTGCATCAGCTATGGCCTTCTCAACTTTGTACTAGAGCAGTATAGATCCACAGGCCAATCGGTTTAGGGAAGAGCTGGAATTTTGTTTTTCTTGATGCTGACCACATATGGTAGAATAGAATTATTGTTTCTTTATTAATTGATAAGGTTACCTTTCCTATTACTTACATCTTATAGTTTAAAGGAAAAACCTCATGTTTTGCGAGTCCTAGAGTTTAAAAATGGGCAAAATATGGAAACCTTTACAAGTGAGAAATTTTAAATATGTTTTGCTATAAATGCTTCTATGTTCAAACAAAGGGAATGTGACCCATCAGACCTTGGTCTCAGGTGTGCTCTGTCTGGAGGGGAGGAGAGATGGAGACCCTTGACTAAAGCTTTGCACTTCACATTCTGCAATAGAGGGGTGTCAGGCCAGGGCTTGCTAATGCGATATTTGTCATGCACAACACAGTTTTGAATTAAGTGCATGCGCTTTTAGGCATTTTCAAATCGTGTGCATCTTTTTCATGTAGAAGATCAACATGGGTTTGCAAAACCATGAGCAGGGCAGAGTAACCTCCCCTTTAAAGCCACTCTTGATCTGAGCTCAGGTGTTATAGATGAAAAACAGTTTGAAATACCGTTTGCACTTTGATACCCTCTGTAGCTTAGGTAAGTCTTTTAGCCTTGGGTTTTTTAACCAGTAATCTGTTACTGGCAGCAATCCACGGGAAAATGCACTTAATTTATTGTGAGTCACAGATTTTGAGGATGAAAGATAGAATCCCAGGAGAAGACTGGGGTGGTCTAAATAGAAAGATTAAGGGAATATTATAGTTTCACAAAATAACGTGTCTGGAAATTGCGGATATCAAGGAAAAAATTACTCAGTACCACTGTTAATGTGGCGATAGAACTTCTGTATGGAAAAGTTATATAACAGGGACATCTTTGGTATAGATGGTTTAGTAAAAAGGGGATTACATTCTTCCTCTAAGAGAGTGGTTCTTAGTAGGGGGTAGGAGATGTTTTTGACTTCCAGGACACAAATTTGGCAAGGTATCTGGAGACATTTCTAGTTGTCACAACTGGGGTTGGATGTGTGCCATTGCCATCTAGTAGATAGAGGCCAGGTATGCGATTAAACGTCCTGCATTGCACAGAGCAGTCCTCTACAACAAAGACGATGCAGCTCAAAACATTGGTACTATTGGGGCACAGAAACCCTGATTTGAGATAATGATGTGAAAAGTGATCTTAATCTTTATAATGAGGTCTAAATGAGAAAATCCCTGACCACATCATTGTAATACAGCATTTCCCATTCCCAGGAATTGGTTCTTATATGAATTCTCAGCCTAAATTTTCAGAATTTCTACCTCGTTCACCTACACTGTATTTGATCAAGAAACAGTTGCCACCTGTATACATTTAACACAACCGTTGCCTTACATTATTGCCAAATGTTAACAGTTGCTTAAAAATTGCCATTAAGATGTCATCACGGTGTCATTAGTTTTAGAGCACGTTAAGAACAGTCTTCTAAACGAAAGCCATCTCAGCAAGGTTGGTGTCATCACTGTGGTAGTCAGATGTTGATGTGGGGATTTAGGGAGTGGACACCTCCCCATCTAAATAGTGTTTTAGGTAAACTTCAGGCTAGTTATTTCTCAGCTGCTTTATCAAGAGTAAATGGAGGGTATAGTCATATAATGGAATATTATTCAGCACCAAAAAGGAATGGAGTACTTACTCGTGCTATGACTTGAATGAACCTTGAACATTCTGTGCTGAGAGAGACCAGACACAATTGTGTGATTCCAGTTCTGTGAAATGTTCTGAATAGGCAAATCCTTAGATCCAGAAAATGGATTAGTGGTTGCGATGGGTGAGGGGAGAAGGAATGGGAGGTGGCTTTAATGGGCACAAAGATTCCTTGTCTGGTGACGAAAATGTCATTGAATTAGTTGTGATGATTTCAAAACTTTCTGACTATATTAAAAACCACTGAGTTGTTCAGTTGAAAATAGTGAATTTTGGGATGTGAATATTATAGTAATTTTTAAAAATGCAAAAGAAGAAAAAGAATGAATTTAGGAAACACTCCTTGACCTTTAGCTTCTCCATCACTGACACCATGTGGCTACCCGTTCCTGGGGACCCATGAGGCCTCTGGTTCTCCTTGGCCCAGCTCAGACTCTGAGTCTCTGGTCATGGTCTCCTGGTGGCTCCCAGAAGCATGCGTGAGGCTCTTGGTTCTCCCATGATGTCACCTTGCCTGCTGGTGGGGTTTAGCAGTAGGAAACTCCTGGGCTGGCTCACGTTGGGCTGTGTAAGCACCAGAGCTTGATGTGGGTTTTAGAAGTTTACATTTTCACATAGTACTTCTGTTTTTTAATTTCCCAGAAGCTGTTTGACTTAAAACTATTGGGACGGAGTTTTGCTTTCTTTTTGCTCAACCAATGCTTGATTCTGTAGGCTGGGACTTATTTGCACATTAGCCCCATTTCTTGCAGGAATTATCTAAGCAGTGGATTTACATAAAGGACAAAGAGGTGAGTGTCAAGGGAGAGATGCAGCCTATCCTCACGGGAGACATGGAAGGAGTGAAGGCAGGTATTGGAGAAGAAAGGGGAGGAGCAAGCTGTGATCTAAGTCAGTAACCATTTAATCATCAAAGAGAAGGTTGACGTATGAAGAATCTCACAAAAGGGAAGATTCTCACATCGAAGATTGAAAATGATATGGGAACCATGTCTGTGTATAATAGAACTTACCATGGGTGTCCCTGAGTACATCACCATTAATTTCTCAGTTTACTAGTATTTTGTTGAGGATTTTTGCATCTGTGTTCCTAAGGGATATTGGTCTGTAGTTTCCTGTTTTTGTTGTGTTCTTTCAAGGCTTTGGTATCAGGGCGATACTGGCTTCATAGAATGAGTTAGGGAGGACCTTCCTTCTTGATGTTGTGGAATAGCTTCTGAAGGCCGGGTATCAGTTCTTTGGTGCTCTGGTAGAATCCACCTGGGAATCAGTCTGGTCCAGGCCTTTTGTTGTTGTTGTTGGGAGGTTTTTTATGACTGCTTTAATCTCCATGCTCACTATTGGTCTGTTCAGGGTTTTTATTTCCTCTCGGTTTAGGCTTGGAAGGATGTGTGCTTCTAAGAATTTATGCATTTCCTCTTGGTTTCTAGTTTGTTTGCACAGAGGTTTTTGTAGTAATCACAGATGATATTTTGTATTTCTGTGGTATCAGTTGTAACAGCTCCTTTTTCATTTCTGGTTGAGGTTATTTGAATCCATTCTCTTTTATTTCTGGTTAATCTGGTTAGTGACCTATCGATTTTGTTTATCTTTTTAAAGAGCCAACTTCTTGTTTTATTGATCCTTTGCATTTTTCTTTGTTTTTTTTTTGTTTTTTTTTTTTTACTACATAATGCTGAGTTTATTTATTTTTTATTTCAGGTTAATGTGAGGGTACCAACAACGAGGTTACAGGGTTGCATTTGTTAGGTAGAGTCCCTCTTGTAGTTGTGTCCCACTCCCAAGAGGTGTGCCAGACACCTTTACCCTGTGCCCACTGAGTGGGAGCACACCCATCCCCTCCCTCCTCCCCTCTGTCCCCTCCCTCATTCCTCCTCCCCAGACCTTGACTTGAATTGAGTTTTTCTCTTTTGTGGGCACATATTAGATCTGGCTTCATATTGGTATCGAGCACATTGGATACTTACTTTTCCATTCTTGTGATACTTTACTAAGAAGAATGTGTTTCCTCTCCATCCAGGTTAATACCAAAGATGTAAAGTCTCCATCTTTTTTATGGCTGAATAGTATTCCAGTTTGGTCATATTTTTTATTTTTATTTTTTGGTTTCCATTTCATCTAGTTCTGCTCTGAGCTTTATTATTTTTTTTCTTCTGCTCTCCACTGAATTCTCAAAACAACTTCTTGAGGTAGGTGGTGGACTCTGTTTTCCAGAAGATGAAGCCTGAAGTTTGGGGAGGTCAAGTGACCCACGTCCTCATAAGGCATTCATGCTTGCAGGCCCTTTAGCCTCAGGGCAGTTGTAGATTTCTACCTTGACTCTCAATACCTAAAGAATTAGGTCTTTGTTCTGGTTGATACTTTATTTTCTTTCTTTCTTTCTTTCTTTCTTTCTTTCTTTCTTTCTTTCTTTCTTTCTTTCTTTCTTTCTTTCTTTCAGACAGAGACTCACTGTGTTGCCCTTGATAGAGTACTGTGGTGTCACAGCTCGCAGCAACCTCAAACTCTTGCCTCAGCCTCCTGAATAGCTGGGACTACAGGTGCCTGCCATAATGCCTGGCTATTTTTTTTTGTTGTTTCAGTTGTCATTGTTGTTGTAGCTGGCCCGGGTCGGGTTCGAATCTGCCACCCTCAGTGTATGTGGCTGGCGCCATAACCACTATGCTACAGGTGCTGAGCCTCTGGTTGATACTTTAATAGGGAAACATTTCAAGCCCAGTGGACAAGGTCCTGAATGGAACTAAGAGTTGAAGGTCAGAGTTGGAGCTGGGACCTTGGAGGCCTCATATATTCTCAAATAGGCAGCTGAGTGATGGTAGCAAAAGGGGCTGTAGGTTTTTACCTACACATCAGACAAATTGGATGAGGGTTTGCTAGCTGATCCAAGATTCTACCCTAGAGGAAAAGACACAGTGTGACAAATCAACTGTTTTATTTTATGCAGGAAGCCAAAAACCGGAATATTAATGCTAAATATGGGAGGCCCCGAAACCCTTGGAGAAGTTCACGACTTCCTTCTGAGGCTCTTCTTGGACCGAGACCTCATGACACTTCCTGTTCAAAAGTAAGATTTTATGACCACCTCTACTGTTTTATCATGTATGCAATGCATTTTGCCCTACACGTATTTCTCAACTCTGTAGTTTCACAAAAAATAAGCAGTTATAATCTGTATTTGGCGATGGTCAGAGCAGCAGCATTAGTTTCTGTTGGATATCAGAAGGATAAGATCTTGGAAGAACTGCAGGGGGAGAGAAAGCAAGTTAGTGAAGTTTCTCCTTGGACCCCTTCCCTCCCCAGAGCCCTGGTAATTGTAGTTTTCTTGACACAGCTGTAGTACTTTTAAGGATTTTTAAAAATGTATTTGTACTTTGCACTTAACATCTGATTAACGTGCAGGGAAGTGGCGATTCTTATTCACTGGTGCCATGGACGTGGTTCGTTGCTGTCTCCTCTCTCTGTCGTCTTTTCTCCCTTTGTCTTCTTTTTTCTGTTTTTGGCCTGGCTGGGTTTGAACGCGCCACCTCTGGCATATGGAGCCAGCACCCTACCCTTTTGAGCCACAGGCACTGCCCCTCATTTTTTCTTTTAGAATAGGTTTTTGGGGCCAGGCTAGATAGCTCACGCCTGTAATCCTAGCGCTCTGGGAGGCCAAGGAGGGTAGATTACCTGAGCTCGGGGATTCAAGACCAGCCTGAGCAAGAGTGAGTCCCCATCTCTACTAAAAATAGAAAAATTACCCGGGCATTGTGGCAGGCACCTATAGTCCCAGCTACTTGGGAGGCTGAGGCAGGAAGATCGCTTAAGCATAAGAGTTTGAGGTTGCTGTGAGCTTGGATGAGGCCATGGCACTCAAGGCTGGAAAACAGGGTGAGACTCTGCTCAGAAAGACAGGAAGAAAGAGAGAGACAGAGAGAGAGAGAAAGAAAAACAGAGGGGCGAACTCAAAGAAACAAATTAAGAAAGTTTTTCACAGCTAAAGGACATGACTTTCCATCTCAAAAAAATATAGGTTTTTGTAACAAAAGATTCATGCATGTGATAAAGATGTCACTAGTGTAAAAGTACTTACAGTAAAAGGCAAGTGTCCCTTTCACCTTGAACTCCAGCCTCCCAATCACTCACCCAGAGGTGAGCACTGCAGCCTCCAGAAGTCGTCCCTGTGCATCTACGTATGTACACGCTCAGTCCCTCCCCTCTGTGTCACAGAAATGCAAGTGTACTTACATATGTTATTTTAGCATTTTGCTTTTTTCTTTCCTTTTTTTGTTTTGTGAAAAAGCAGCCCTATGTCTTGTTTCGTAACGTAATGTATAGATCTGGCTCTTTTTTTCACACTGTTTAGAACTGCGTTGTCTAGCTCTGCCTTCATTTAGTTGGCTGTGCTTCACTGATGGGCAATTAGGTTGTTTCCATGGACATCCTTGTGCATCCCTCAAATCTATAGGATTAATATACATTTCCTTTTACATTAAGAAGAATGTAGGGTGCTAGGTCTTATATCCTAGTTCTTGTTAGGTATAGGATCAAATGTGTTGAGATGGTAGCCAGCTCAAATCCAGGCCTCTCTGCATGGGGAGTCCTGAATCTTCTGGGTGTGCTGCTGGGATAACTCTTGGAGCAGAGTGGACATTCCTCAGAGAAGGTCTAGCTTTAGCTCTCTGATCTGCACCCGGAGAGCTGGCTATGGTCACAGATCTCTAGCTTCTAATTCTAAAGGCTCAATTTTGTTAGGCACTTCTTCAAATTTTGCTTATCATGTTTTTATTGAGTAGACAATTTTTGTCACATTGCTAAGGTGGAATGAAACCCACTTACTCGCATGTTCAATGATTTAGTAAGCTGGCCCCGTTCATCGCCAAACGCCGAGCCCCCAAGATTCAGGAGCAGTACCGTAGGATTGGAGGCGGGTCTCCCATCAAGATGTGGACTTCCAAGCAGGGAGAAGGCATGGTGAAGCTGCTGGACGAGCTGTCCCCCGACACAGGTATGGCGTTGCTTCCTTAACTTATCTCTAGGTGTGTTCTTTCCCAGTAGTCGTGAAATTTAAAACAGTACTGGATGCCAAACGTTTTCATGTACCGGCAACTCTCAGTCTGAGGGGGTTTCTACATAATATAGGGTCATTTTACCCAGCTCTTGAGGTATTATCCTTTTGATTGTATAGCCTTTTACATTCTTTTTTTATTTTACTTTAAAAATTGTTCAACAGATTCAGAGGGTACAGTGGTTTCTGTTACATGGGTGCATTGTATTATGGGTGAAGTCTGGGCTTCTAGTGTACCCATCACCTGAATAGTATCTATTGTACCTAATGGGTGATTTTTCATCCCTCATCCCTACTTCCGAGTCTGCATTACTTCTTAGATCTGTCTCTTTTTTCCACACTATTTAGAATTGCGTTGTCTAGCTCTGCCTTCATTTAGTTGGCTGTGCTTCACTGATGGGCATTTTTATGTTACAAATGAAAAAGCTAAGAATTTGGAACATTAGTTTCAAAAGGAAGTTTGAAATTTTTTTTAGCAGGCCCGGGCCGAGTTTGAACCCCTCAGCCCCAGTGCACGGGGCCAGCACTCTAACCATTGAGCTGTGGGTGCCCAGCTGAGATCTTTGTTAAATAGAGCTGGATTATAAGGCACAGATGACATACCATGAATAAAAGACGCACGTATCATGGGGCTAGAAAGAAATCTTTGGGAAGTGGATTGAGGCTGCTGCCATTGCCTTTCTTTCTGATGGGGCAGCTAGTTAGGTCAACATTTAGTACAGAATTGGCTGGTTCTCGCTGAAGCCACAAGACGCTCCGCAACTTTCAGCGCTTGCTTTCAGCTCTTGGCAACACCACCACCAGAAGGTCCTGGAGTGCCGTATTGGAAGTGACACTAAATGGGGGTTGTACACATCTGGTAATTGTCCTCTGAAAACCTTTAGCAGAATAATAATGCAAAGAATGAAACCCTAAAAGCACAAGTGAACCATCAGTGCCATATTAAACACATGCAAGATGCAACTGATGGCGGGACAAACCTTTGTTTTTGTATAATACTAAGACAAAAAACCCCACCAATTTATTTTAAGATGCTATCTGTTACAGACATGGACCAATGTGAGAAATGTTAAAATTGAAAATTGAAAAATTCATGCCTCTTAGGAACATGAAATACATTCATGGTAAATATATTTTAAGGCTTCAGGATCAGGATGGGAGTGTGACACCTTGGAGATCCCTAAGGAGAACAGCCCCCCAGGCAGGACCAAAAGGAGCATGTCCCTCTTCTTTGAGAGGACATCACTGAGCATCAGCTCAGGCCGCTCTCAGAATCCACCATTTCCCGTCACTCAAAGGAACACAGGGTCCTAGTGTCACCTCCTTTGGGAAATTGCTTAGTTGTGCTTCTGCATATTAGACTTGCTTTCTGCCTTCAGCTGTGGCCCAAGGCACACACCCCTTAGTGTATCTTTTTAAATGTTGGCTGAGAGAACTTGACTGCCCTCCTCTCACCCCTGCTTGGTATGTCATAGAGAACAAAGTCTCCAGCCATTAACAATTTGTTGTGGTTTAGCATGAATCAGAGTTACAATCGCTATGCTGTCTTCAGTGGAAAGAAGAGGCACCTCCTTCCCCCCTGCTCATGTGTTACTATAGTGCTCATCATTATAAAGAGCCTCGGAGAGCCAAGCGTGGTGGTGGGTGTCTGTGGTCCCAGCTGCTCCAGAGGCTGAGGTGGGAGGGCCTCTTGAGCTGAGGAGTTCAAGGCTGCAGTGCTCTATGATTGCACCTGAGAATAAGAATATACACTAAAAAGAAAGACAGCACGGAAGGCTCCATTTCCAAAACAATAATAAAAAAAGAACCCTAGTAGAGTTGTCAGACTTGGAAAAGGAATACAAACAGAAGGGCGTCCTTCCTACCTCCTCCTCTCTGTGGGGAGACTTTCAGGTTAGCCAGGTCTGTCAGCCAGCTGTGGCCTCGGCCTCCCACTTTGGCCTGGAAAGAGTCCATGGAAGGACCTAGCTTTTACCCAGTGTCCCAGTTACTACTGAGTCCTGATCATTTTAGTATGTGGCCGTGTAGTCCAAAGAGAGGAAATTATAAGCATGTAGCTTTTAGGATCAATTATTCTCTGCTTTGGTAGAGACCAAAGAATAATAATATTCACCATAGACTTAACATAGTCAAAACTGTTGTAAAAGCGATTTTCAAAAAAATTGAGTGATTAAGCATTCTATCCCAGAGCAGTGTTTTCAGCCTGTTTTAACTCTCGGCCCACTTGAATTATGTTGATTAAAAAAAAGAGTAAAAGAAGAATATACTCACTGTGCTTTGAAGTTCTTTCAAAATAATTTAATCAACGATCCTTAAAAATTTTTGCAGCACACTGAAGATCCTCTCATGGCACACTGGTGAAAATCACTGCCAGAGAGACTTATTTTTAAAAGTCCATTATTCTTTGTTGTAACTTTGGGGATAAGTTTCGTGTGTCCACAGAACACATACCAGCTTGGTGGCTGGCCTGTCCAGTCACTAAATCATCCCTAATGCCACAGGAAATGGTCTTTCCTCCTCTGCTCGTTCCGCTCACTTGCGTGCTTACTCCCCCACGCACTCTTTCATCCCTTAATTCCCACATCCATCTATTCTTCATCCACCCGCCAGATACTTATAAGCACTGAACAGTGTCGGGGCAGTGCTCTGGGGCTGAGCAGTGAGCAGGCCGCGCCCTTACCTTCCTGGAGCTGCGTTTTCCGGCAGTTTTCACACAGGCAGGCAGGGACTCACTTCTCTCGGAGGCTCCTTTGGGTTTCCCTGGATCTCAGAAGCTGGTCGGCATGGGCACTGGCACTGATGCCCTTGTGGAATCACCGTCCTCCATAGCCCACCCTTGGGACCCTTTGAGGCAGGCAGGGTACATTTTGGCTTTCTCCTGGGTAGTAGATGACCATCTCATCATTTCAGCTGGCTTGCTTATTGGATTATGGTAGTGGCATTGAATAAGGCCCCTGCTCACTCATTCATTCATTCATTCATTCAGCAGCAGCCCATTGAATGCCTGGCACTGTTTGGTGCTGCTCTTCAAAGTTGGAAATCATGGTTTCTACTTACAAGAAGCTTCTAGTCTGGTGGGATCTTAATGCTGCAGGCCAGTCTGCCTAAGGGGCAGAGAGAGCGAATCTTTTGGAGACTTATTGGCGAACAGTGTCCAAAACGTGTATGAGGCTGACGAGCACATAGGATGGTCTCAGGCTTAGAAATTTATGTGGGAGAATTTTGCATCGAGGATGGAGAAGACCACCAAGTATGGCGCTGCAGTTTTTTCAGGGCGCCCCAGATTGCCCATAAAGAGGGTCCTAGTCCTTGTCACACTTCTCTGTGTGGGCATGAAGCCGAAGCTGAAGGCCAGCTGCCTCTCTGGGCACAGTTCCCTCCCTCCTCCCTCCCACCCTTCGTGTTTCTCTCTCTCATTCTCCCTCCCATCTGATCCTCTTATCTATACAATTATAAAGTTTACTTTTGAACTAATTCTGTTTCTTTCTTTTTTTTTTTTTTTTTTGAGACAGAGCCTCAAGCTGTCCCC